AGTTTTACCACTCCGCGCGCTCAGCTGACTCAATACAACCCTACGTCCGTACAAATAACGAAGGCCGCTTAGATTTTCATGCTTTTCTCGTCCCACAACTTGGTTTTCACTGAAGGGCGGCGCTTGGGAGGCGGAGTCACTGGAAAAAAGGAGGAACCACTGGACCTATTTTGCCTTATAGCGCCCCTCCCCTGCACTTTTTTGCCGCGAAAACGGTACAGGGTTGTTCGTCGCGGACCGCACTATCCTCCCGATGCCATATTTTCATCTTCGATACTTGATCGCGGACCGTTCCTTTAAGTTAGAAAATCAAATTGATTTCCACACATTTTCACTAACACACAACCAAAAAGCTTTAACAGCTTTACTGCTCAGAATCCTAGGGGGGCATCACCGATAATCCTCTCGAAACGCGTAGCACATCTCGAAGGGGCCGAATCCTTTCGCCTTTGCGAGCACACTCGATGTCGCGAGCTCGTTTGGATTGTTGCGGCTTCTTCACTGGTGTGCCGCTTCTCCCTATTGTGAGGTGTCCCCCAATGGAAAATGGGCAGTAGCCATAGTTGCCCATACTCGAAATCCCTGAGATTGGGTAGGCGTGGCTGCATGCTTCAACTTAACCTGAAGGTGTCTATGCTTCTGGTGAGATATTTTCATCTTGACACAATTGTTGTCGTGTCTCTGTCCAACACAGAACAAGATGACAGTTGTCCCAGACTGGAATATTCCACGAGTAACCAGTTCCGTGCCATGTTCAAATGCCACGCCTACTCTGGCTCAGGGATAAGGAATGCACCTAAGGTCATTTGAATGTGCAAAACAGTCTTTATTAAATCACAGTCACCATACATAGTTGTATCAAAGACATTATTCATAGAAAAATGGTACATTGAAGGCAGTATGAAACATTGAGAACATTCCAGAAAACTGGCAGAGAACAGGTTCTTATTCACAGCACAGGATACCCATAGAAGTTTATCTTCAGCCTAGAAAAGTTTCAACAGTGGCTATAGCAACTCAGTAACATGATAAATGTAAACATTTAAACAAACAACAATGTGAATATAAGGCCGCAGCTATACTTCGCGGATTTGCAGCCGGCTGCCTAGGAAAACATACGTATCGATTTAGTCGTATACGCCCAGTGGGCGGAGCGACGTGCCGTTACTATTGATACCTAGAATTGACATAGGCAGCCAGTCGCTTCGGGAGAAAATTCGGTCATATGAAGAAAATCAGAGGAAATTACACGTTGACAATATTACAGAGATCCACTGAGATAACAAATCAACAGTAAACAAAAACTCTTCCCCCAGAACTCTAAGGGTATGATTCATCTGAGGATATGGGCGGAGCCAGTAGGGGGTTTTTGGTCCCCTCCATTGGGGCGCACGTTCCCGTAAAGCAAGGGGCGCACCAATAAGGAGGGCGCTGTGGCTGACTGACTCCGCCCACTATGGCCATGGTGGACGGGTACCTAAAATTTAGAAGAGCTCTACAATGATTAGGTCGCAAGGATGACTGGGTAACAAGAATGATCTCCCCCGCATGAGTAAACAGTAAACAGGTTCATAATTAAAGGTAAATAACAACAAAAGTTTCAACAAAGAATTTCTTAGACGGGGAACATCGCCGGATTGAGTGGCGGCGCTGCTCGGCCCACTTTTGCTCCTCGACCACGTGTCGGAGGTTTGAATGATGGCCGTACTCGTTTAGTACGCGTGCCGCCGCTTCTGAATTTTTTCAAGCTGAAATCGAATCTACTGACCCCACAAAACGAAAGCAACTCACGATCCCTGACTACTGCCACGGCTGGCCTTTTTCTTCAGTCGAGGGGTGGCTTTCGGTCGACCAAAATTACCGCCTGCACGTCCTCTGCCACTATTGGAACGACCAAAACGTGGGGCGTACTTGCCGCTTGGACCAGAGGATGATGTGGCTGCAATTGAACCAGGGATGAATGGTCTTTGAAGGTGATTCTGCGGTGCTACCAACCTGACGAACTACCTGCATCCACCGATGAAGAAAGCGACGGTAATGGAGCTGCCGGTTGGACGTCTTTCAACTTTTCAAGTTGTAGCCGCATTTCGGCCTCGTCACGATCTAAAAATGAGAATTCGAACAAAGGGTCTAAAGTAGGCAAAGAAAGGCGCTGTACGGCTTGGGAGGGGCATTCTGCACTTCCGCTACTTTCTTTTGCTAGTTCAGACGTCGAACTACCCGTCTCACCGCGGTAAGACCTGCAAACACTTGCCAAGTGCAGACGAATGTTCAGCTACTGCACATGTTAACAGGAATTTACAGGTGACCACATGAGGCATTGGCAATGATCAGCTGGAACCAGCAAAATGCCCCACCAAGGCGACCAGCACTTAAGAAACTCAGCGTTGTCCAGCTTCTGAGATGAAACCCACCGTCGACCTCCTTCCAAAACGACTTCAACACCGCCATAATTCGTGGACCATACCTCTCCACTTTGCTGGTCGTCATCGAATCGACTTGAACCAGATCGGTATTTGTGCGTGGAAGCAGAGCTGCTACCTGAACACTGCAAGTCGTGTTTCTTCAGGGCACTACGTATGTTGGGGATAACCAGCGAGATGAGGGGTAGTCATATTTGGTTGGTGGAGGAAGGTGGGAGGAGGTCGTATTTGCGTAGGTGTTTTCGAGAAAAACATTTTCGATTGTTGGAGTTTCCTTGGTTTTCCTTAGTTTTTCCCATTTCGTTGCCATATATACCCCCTTCCGTTAGGATGATAGTAGGTAGGATGAGAGGTGGGGAAAACAAAAATTCATTCTGTCGCGCGGAATCCTTGAGCTATATAGAAGAATATGGTAAGCTCAATCAAGCGCCATGCCCGGAAGGTTCTCCTCCAAGATAAATTAGGCCAGGGAAGCCGTTGGACAGAAGAAATAGCGGCGTTGGGTAAGGCCACCCCATCCTGAAAACTCTTCCTCCAGAGCGACTTCCCTTCCGCTCATCCTACCTACTAATTTCATAAGTTTTCCTACCACTTTTCTCGACTTTTCAGAATTTTCCCCTTTATCCCCTCGAGAACTACTGCAGTCGAGCAGGGGAAAGGAGGCAGAAAGAGGGGGGGGGGAGGAGGGTCGCCACCTAGCAGCTACTAAGTTTAACTATCGAAAATAGCAGTTGTATAGGACTTCGACGGCGGCAAGTAACGAAAGGGGGAGGGTATACACCACATATGAAAAGAGTAAGTCAACAACAGAAAATCTTTCTATCGCAGCTCGACAAAATTTCCGAAACCAAATACCCCCCCCCTGATGGAACTTTCCCGATGGGCTGCACTCTACATTAGGCAATAGTAGCATAGAAGTCAGAATCACAGTGCCTTCAGTAGATAAACAGTCCCTCTAGTAGATAAAGAGAAGAGGCGTATCAGCGAGGAAGGCACGATGGTCCCTGCAAGTCTCCGCCCTCTTCGTCGCACGTCGGATTATGCCGAGTGTACCTTTAGGTCCAGCCATTAATTGAATGAGGCACGAATGTCATACCTGCTCAAGCCCTTCTTGTGAAATAATCGCATAAGGACCCGACAGTCGTGAGTCTTCTGCAATTTGTGTGACGAGTTCAGTTAAAGCCTGTAGACAACGAGCAAACACATCTTTGTATTTTATCATGTGCCTTAACGTTGAGAGTCATGGAGCGCTTTCAAAAATCAATAATCACAATCAATAACATACTTTTCCTTCAAAGCCTTCGCTTCAGAGACGGATGTCCTGGCCAACAAGTCTGACATTATCGATTTCCGTTTTTGCCACGGCTGACATCAGATAGATCTAAATCGCTACACTAATGCCGCAAAATCAGAATACCAAGTGGCAAAACGCACAAAACGATAGAACTATCGAAGAGGCTTGATTGAACTCACCTTTGCTTTTGGGCCAGCCACAACCCTGCCCAGACCTTTTCAAGAGTGAGTCGGCCCATACGCTAAGCGTGCTCTCAAACTCGTTCGATTACAGCACGCCTTCGATATAGTCCCTGCAAAGTCAACGACTGAAAAACATCAACCGCAGTGCATTTGGCACTGTGAGTGTGCGAGCGCAACAACAGCTAGAGCGATCGACGCGCGCTCAGCAACTTCGCTACCGCTTTCACGTATTGCGGCAGAAGTCTGTCCATGAATTCCTAATGTAAGGGCAAAAAACTGAGCCCCTAGAGCAATCGGCGACGGAGGGAGGGGGGCATTTTGCATTATCATTGGTCCTTACAAGGGAGGTCGTTCAGGCCGTGGTGAGCTTTTTCAAAACGATTTGTTGCATGTTGTAGGGGTCCATACAAGGACCACACAGATGGGTTTCATTTTTGCTAAACGCTATTGGGAATGTCAAAAAAGGAATAAAAACAAATCGCTCAAAATACGCAAGTTTTATCATCTCATTCGCATCTGTTTCAGCTGTAAAGCAGAATACATAGAGTTTATAAAGTGTTCCTCAACTAGACATGAAAAACAATATTGAATAAGGTCGAAATTGAAGTGCTTTACTTTGCATACAGTGAGGTACACTGCAGTTTCTTTAGGGGTTTATGCAGCATCCCTTCGCGCTCGCAGTGGCCATTTAGCGCCACGCTGGCCCCAGATCACGTCGGCGCCATAAATAATTGTCAGAATCGTGATCAGGGCCATTGATTACCCCTATTTAAGAGGTTTCAGCGAAAAAATTTTTTTTCGAGTTTTTGGTGGTCATGGACTTGACCATTTGGATGGCAGTGACAGGCGAACCCTCCATTGAGTATCCTCTCTGGCATACAAACCACCAGAAATTTTTCATTTCTTGCACTCTCAACTTCAGTAGGTTTACATAGAACACCGTGCTGGCTTCGGAGTCATTAAACGAGCATCCTGAAACTTTCTCCACTTTTACCGTCTTCGACAATTTCGACAAAGAACTCGTTACCACCTGCCCGGAAAAAAGATCTTGTTTCTCCCATATCAAAGGTATTAGTGGTGTGCAGTGTATGTGCCTCACTTTTTTGTGTAGTTGTTAATTCTCGTCTGCATACTAACAAATGAAAAGCCCCTCTTAACGATGTTGAATAATGACTCTTTAGGGGGGGGGGAACTGATAGCCACTAGCTGGAGACATGGCAGGCATCATAACACAAAAAACTCGGAAAAAATTTTTCCGGCGTAACTCTATACGTAGGGATAGTTCATGGTCCTGATCACGGTTCTGACACTTATTTTTGGCACGGAGGCCATCTGGGACCAGTATGGCGCTAAATAAGCCCCGCCGCGCAGACTGACAATGATGCTAGTACGAGAAAGCCTTTGCACCAAATTGGCGACACATTGCGCCATATTTAAAAATGAGTGTCATGTTCATGATCAGAGCATCGGATAACCGCCGTAACCAGAATGTTCTCAATGAAGAGTTTTTCGATAGTATTTCGCGAGCGTAATAATTGAGTGAGGCCCCGTTGTGAACCGTTCCCGCATGGAATGTGTCTTTAAATGGCGTATATCCGGGTCATACACATTATGGGGCATACAGGAATACAAGATGCAAGAAATCTGAAAAATGCAAAAAACTGGCCGCAAGGGGATCCGATCCATAAACCCACCGAATGAGAGCCCGTCACGCTATCCACCACACCATCTGCCACTGCGACATGGGAAATGCAGGACCTGTTGAAGAGAAATGCGCAGATGACTGGAAAACTCCAATGCAGCTCACCACATGCCAAGTAAAGCATTTGGATTTTGACCTTATTTTGCGCTGTTTTTCATGCCTGCTCAAAGGATACCCTACATACTATACCCTGTCAACGCTACAGCTAGAACAGAGGCGAATAAGGTGGTTTAAAAAGCCCATTCTTTTCGAATTATTTTGACCTTTTTTTGACATTCCCAGTACCGTTTAGCAAAAATGAACCCCATCGCTGTGGTCCTCGCATGGACCCCTACAACATGCAACAAACCGTTTTGAAAAAGCTCACCACGGCCTGAACGACCTCCCTTGTTAGTTCCGCTTAACAAGATTCACTCTAGCAAAACCTGTAAGCTGGAGCAAGGTCATCAAACCTTTCATGTTGAAACCTGTCAACTCGAGAAGAGGCCGTTCAGATAGGTGGACACGTCGCAGGTAAGGTGCAAAATGCCCAACCCCCCCCCACGTCGCCGAACTGCACCAACTGATCCCTTTGCAACGCCACTGATACGTAAAAGAACCCCATCATTTGAATTGTTGATTAAGCAACACAGAAAAGACTTCCACGATAGACGATGCCATTATTATTTTTACCAATTTTCTCAGAAACCGATATGAGTCTTGTTCAGCCATGCCGAAACCTCGGCCATAAAATGGCAACGAATTATGTCCGAGCCGCGCTGCATCCGCTGCGTCCTTCTTCTTGAGTTGTCCTCGAAACAGCTCCGCTAAGTACCTATAAACAGACAATCTCCAATTCTCATGATTTTCTGACACAATTATATGCCACTCCTCTCCTCCCTCCTCCCCCCCCCCCCCTCCTTCCCCAGTTTTGATTTCAGTCCTCATCTGGGTGTATAGTCGTCATCTGGGCAGTTGATTAGGCGGTCAAAAGGGTCGCAGACGCGACTGCGGCGCGACATGACCGCGGGATAGCTGTTTCCATCCTATTTAGCCATTTTCTTCCTATTTTTCGGTGAACCCCCCTACCTCCCCAAACTTTCCTCATTTCTGATACGACCTCCTTCCCCTCCCTACGTACCGTCTTTCTGAGTTTTCCATCTTCCTACCACGTTTCTCAGTTTCCTTAAATTCCTCTGTTTTCCTGAAAAGGCGTCCCAGGGGTGCTAAAAAGCATCGGTAGATCTACGTTGCGAAGATGTAGCGGATGCGGTTTTGTAATTAGAGTCGCATGGGTGGCATTCGCACCAGGACCTAACTGATCTAATGTGGAAGTGCTATGGTGCAGCGTATAAACTTGCGAACGAGCTGCACCAGAAACTTCCAACTTATAGCTGAACGTCGCCGAAACGCGAACTTCTGCCCAATCGTCTCCCCTACAAGTTGGGAAGATCACAAGGAGAGGCGAGAAACCAGAATGAGGCGCGCACACGCAGCGGACGACATTGTGCGGTATTTCCTGGGAGACGGATACGACAGTCGTAATTTCTCGCTTCCGCGCGCGGCCCACCGTGCTGCCAGGCACTCCCAGATCTATTTGTCTTTTGGCCAAACTAAACACATGGAGTTTAGCAGAAACAAGACTCCATGACAGGCGACACTGAACTTTCCCCGTCCTTTCACCACTTAATTTTGAACGACCAGGACAGGACAACTCGTCTTTCGAGTGCGGCGCGCACGTCGCGCCCCCGCGGCGGCGGCGACACATTACGATTGTCTTATCACATACCCACTATTTTCCGTTTCACCAAATTCTAGCTTGTTTTCGCTCCCGCCCCTCCTGTCGCTGGTAGACCGTGAACTGTCCCAACCCGAATAGCACTGCTTCTAGACAGACGTGCCAGGCAACATTCCTGCTTATAAAGGGGTCCTAATCCAACTATAGCTACAAAAATCTCCATCGCCCACGTACCGTAACGTGACGTTGCGCATTTTGGTCATCGCTGACAAAATCATGAACGCCTCATCAGACATGTCGTACAGCTTCACTGCATCTGGTGCGTGCCTCAAGCGTCGACACACATCGCAAGGTGTACTGCTTTTCAGGCACATCTGCGCATCATACACCTAAAGGAAAGTGATTTCTGATGATCTGAATCATTACCTTTTTCTCAACTCCAAAATGTCTATAGCCTCAGGGTTCTGAAGGAAAACCTGAAAGGAGCACTACCCTCACCTCTCCAAAATGCTCAACGAGAATCTTTCTCCTACAGAGCGAAATGTTTTCACAGTACGATACCACTTGGTAGATATTTTGTAAGTGCATAGATCGGACACTTGCTGGTGCTTGACTGTCGTCACCTAGAAAATAGTGGCTCATAGCACAGTTTCCATCTTCTCACCCATTTACCGTCCTTCGGAGCTCTTCATATCTATTTGGTCCTAACCTTCAATCATTCTTCGTAGACGATGCATGTCATTATAACTGTAAAGCAGTAAGCAGTAGGATGGATTCCCATCTCGTCCAGCTCGTCCAGTCTCTTGATAGTAACCCTCAATCGATTTCGGGAGACTAAAATGCGATTTTTTTTGGAACTAGATGGCTCCTTCAGCAAAATGAGTTTTCTTCCGAAAACTGGAAGAGCTCATCCGGAGAACTGGCTGTTACTCGCTCAGAGACGCACTCCATGCCAGGGGACGGAGCTCTACGTCTTCCTTGTTAGTGCGTCCCTACTTTCTAAGACATTGAAATGGTGGGGCCTGGTATAGAGCAAGGTACGCTAGTAGGCCCGATTCCGCACACACGAACAGCGTGGACCATGCGTCCAACTGTCTACGAAAACCAGAAGGCCTCACGACGATTTTTCGGCTTAGAGGGGCATTTTGCACTTTCGCTAGTTCATTTTGTGCGCTCATGTTAACTAACATGACTAACTTCGGTCAGAAGTGCAAACTCGTGTGAAGCTCGACATTTCGATTGAGTCACTTTGGTCACACGAATCTACAGGTCTTTACAAGATAGTCTACAAAAGATTAGCTGAATTCCATCCCGTGCCCCCACTAAGCCGAACTGCTGCGCGTCATACAACTCTCCGATTGTGTGACATCTAATCCGTTCTATGCGGCGAGAGTGCAAATCTCCCCTAGCTGTCGGTACTCTCTCGTTCTCTCGCACTCGGATCGACTGAACGGTAATCGCGGGTTTCTTTTTCAAAATTATTGGACTCACTAGTGGGAACGTAAGGTGCTACAGTCAACCTGTTGACTTTTGGGGAGGTCAACAAAGGCTTAAGAGTTTTCTAAGTCACAGAGTGCATCCCCACAGTTTTCATTTCCTTATGTTCACATGAGTCGGGATCTTTTGCATGAATAAAATGTGTCTACCCGGAACTTTCGTGCAACAACCCCTCCTTGGGTTTCGCAGAAGCTCAGCGGGAAGGAATTAGAAAAAAAAACGATTTTCCCGAGTTCACTTGACATCTGAGTTCTTTTTCCTCAGTAGTGTTCACATGATTATCCGGCCTCAGGGCACCTGTCAACAAAACCGCCCCCCCCGGAAGCCTCTCTTTCTCTCTTTCCTTTTTTCTTTCTCCCTCCTTCATTTTCTCCCTCCCTTCTCTGATCCCTCCTTCTTTATCTTCTTCCTTAAACTAGTGGACAGGTAGATGCCCCGAGAAAATACCCCTGAACCCTCGCAGCGAGAGCACGTCTGGTTGACATGTGCCCCGTAACCTGATTATCCAGGTGAAGTGTTTCGATACCCATGATGACTTCAATCACTTCATTTTGGTCAAGTATACACTGCCCTTAGTGCAGAAGCGTGCTAATGTCTAAGGTTATCTTCGTTTACTACTGAATAGCTTAGCCTCCACCAATATTCTCAATATCACCCTGCTCACGTTGAGAGCAGGCTGACCCGTTCTTCGGAGAGTTTGTGGTGAGTCTCTCTGCGTGCCTGACCGCAGCGTGCTCTCCCGTCTGCGTCTGGCCTCGAGAACGAGACGCAGAGAAAAAAACGGATTAGTTGTCCTAAGACCAAATGAGCTGATTCCGCGCAATTTCAACCATTTCACCGTAACTAGAGTACGACAGCCCGAGCTGCGATAAGCGCAGTGCGGGTCTGGTACCTGACGATCCGTCCAAATACTGCGCTATTTTGACGCAAGCGTAGAAAACGAACGCTACAAGTACACAAAAGTAAAGCAGGTACCTGTAGTGGATCACAAAGCGCACGTCCTGGTTTGTCGATACCCATTCCGAAAGCAATTGTTGCACAGATTACATTAATATTATTCCGTAACCAACTATGTTGTACCTACATAACCACATAATAGAAGTCAACACTAGAGGTATACAGCTCTCATATACCCGAACTAGGGAGGCGTGGCCGCGCACTTATGGTCATGAGGTAGAGTACTTTCTTGTGAATCTTGCTGTTGAGACCACTGCCATACTGCCTTGTGCTGAACAAAGGTATTTCACAACTGTCTGCAAACGAAAATGTCTCCCAGAAACATAATCGCCACCCTTTTCAAAAGGGTTACGGCAGCCATGCCCTCCTCTCTCAGACGATGGAGTTTAAAGCGAGCAGAAGTATAGTACACTGAAGAAAGGAACCGTGCGTGGCGCATTAGATCAGGTTAATTAAACCCTCTAGGCCTGCTCAACTAACTGACCTTCACTCTCTTACTATCAGAAAGACCAGCATGATAAACTTCAGCCAGTATTCCACTTTTCGTCAACGTTGTACACACAGTTTCGCACTCATTTCTAGAAACAGCACTTATAAACAGGCTTTAAAGGTCACAATAATCACTCAGACCTTGATAAACAATAAACGATGCCAGCTTTTCCGGGGTACAATTGTTTCATCCTTTGAATAACACTCACAAACGTTTTCGCCGCTTTTGGCATAATCTCGTAAGTGAGGTTTGATCTCACAAAGCTACTTATGAACCTGAAATCAGTAGAATTTACAGCTCACATGGGGTTCGAAACCTAGCTATGGTTTTGCTGCGGGTGGGGGGGGGGACGGCTACACTGCAGGGAGCAATATTAGAGTGTCCGGAAAGTTTTGAGAAATTTCAACAAGCTCATTTAATACCTATCGACAACAATGAAAGATAGGGGTTCATATTTATGATAGACATTGTCCATACCATTTCCCTTACCTTTGCTGGTTCGCCAGCATGCTCTCCAGCAAATGCTGGAGCGACTAACAATAAGCGACAAAAACTGGTAAAAAAACTACTGACGCGAACTATTATATATTATATCGTCTTGTCGCTCGCCGACAAGAAAAGAAAAGAAACGGGCTAGTTGGCGCCAAACTCGTTCCCTTGACATGCCCCATCAGCCGCAGCGAACAAGACTGTAACGATAGCGAGCCCTCGATGGATATTGATTGAGGAAGGGATGGTGTTCACGGTGAGAGCGCTCATAGTTCGCGACATTGGCGATTCAGCCGCGCGACTCCGGCGGCTTAACATCAGCGGTGCAGCGGGACGAACGTGACTCGAACGCAGAACAGGCACATCGCTGTTGGGGAATCCCCAAGCGGTGGTCGTATTTGGCAGCCCGGAGAGGAGGGAATCGTATTTGGGCTGGGAAAAGTTTGTTTTGATAGTTGTTCTTCTCGCTTCACGGACGTTTCGCACAGACTCGACTAAAATCCCCAACCAATGATGTGCCCTGACGCAGAAGCAAGACCATGCCTTTGTTCGGCTTCCCGTTTCAGGATACATGCGATGCAAAGTTGAGCTATTTCTCTGCTTTCGACCCCTCTCTATTGCTCATTTAGTCGATTTCTCAAACTCAGTACGTAATTTTTCAGTTTAGTGATGGATTTTTTTCCATTGCTTGAGAAAATAGAAAAACCTGTGGAGTGAGAGCGATCACCTAATCACAGAAACTGCCAAAAAGTTGCGCGATTGAATCGCGGATTGTTAATGTGACCATGGAGACTTCTACTCAAGATTGACGATTAATACTCACAGTTTTGAGTCCACGATACCTAAATGGTCTCTTGTGTCGGCCACAATTTTCGGCGTCGCTGTCGCTGTTAGGGCGACTATCGGCACCTAAACCAGTACAGTCAATAAAAAACTCTGGCTGTGTCAATTATTCAAGCTGATCTAGTGTGCCATAATGTTCATGATCGTACCGGCAAAAAATTTAGATATATCAATAGTAGAAACCTTCGGGCATGCGGGCGATTCTACGGGTCGCCGCGTAAGTGCAACGCCGCAACCTTTGCGTACCAGTACGCTGCCTGCATGTCGTTCAAATTATCGACGGGAACCATCCCAGTGCTACTTTGAAGAACTCGCCATGAACAGAAGCAAATCTCTTGTCCAACGACAACTCGTGTGGACGAGTCAGTGCAACTCTAACATTGCCGCGCGCGACCTGTTCACGATAGAATCGCCCGTCTTCCCGAAATCTATACCTTTGGCTGAGCGTAGTCGCGTCGTAGTGATTGTAGTTTCGTATAGTCTGGTCGGAAATCATGGCCCCATTGGGATACGCAATGCGCCTCGTCAATGACGAATCGTGATAAACAATTACGACGATGTAAACTTCCAAAGACTGATGCCAATTTTCCAGACGCACCGATCTGGAACCAGTCGTTGAGGGGCAAATAAAAGGGTGCTTATTTTTGAAAAGAAAAATAGCGAGGTCTCACTTTCTCAGGTGTAACATACAACAGTTTGATATCAGGTGGGGAGCACATTCAACCGATTGTA